GTAAGGCTTGAAGGGGGGATTCCAAAAGTTTTTAAGTCCAACCCTTGCTGAAACCCATTGCACGAACATCTCTGACAGATAATTATCCAACCCCTGTTTAAAAAAAAACTTTAATGGAAGAGAGTTGATCATCATCAGAGGTAGTTTATCCCATTTTCAAATAGTGGGTGCTCTCACCTAAGGTGTAATGGTGGAGAGTCTGCTAAGAAGCACAAACTAGCAAGAGTAGTTTCTTCACACTTACTCAGTGAGATTTTGAAATGATACAGAGGAAAGTGTGAGAAATTGCAGGAGCCCTAAGTATATAGTGTAATGGGGTTGAACAATGATAACCACACTTCTCCAAAGTTTCAGATTGGACCACTAGGTAGGAACAGAACCATCAATATGCTCTGTTCACAACCTAAAATTGAAGAACCTGTCTAAAAGGCTACCATGGCTGAGAATACTGAGCATTGCTGGAAGGTCTCAAAGAATGAATAGGGTCATGTTTCATACATTTCTCCCAAATCTTCTTACTGATTTTGAACTTCTTGGGTACAATCTCCAGGAATGATTTTTGCACCCATGTAGAGATGTTACCTGTTTTGATTAGATTTATCCTGTAGATCATTTGGAATCATGTTCTTATTCCAATAGGAATTACTTATTGTTAATATATACTGTATATAATGGGAAGTACCCTACTAGGGATTTATGCCAGTGTAATCATTGTAGTGGCAAATCTGCTGCTAATTAATAAATTGCTTGTCGCATTCTGAACCATGGGCCAGATACACAGTCAGGAATAAAAAACAGCAACTTGTTAATTGGTGTTAAATTGCCACTGCAAGTCATATAAATTCATTTAATAATGGTATAAATCCCTATTAGGATTCTGGCCAGTAGCTTAAATTTTCAAAGTATCTTTGTTAGGTTGCTTTTGGCTCTAGTAGATTAACAGACAGTCATGTCTTTTTGACGTCACCTCATTGAAAGTCTCCTTGAATTAATTCTGGTTCATGACCAGTGTGTTTATACTGTTTAAAATGGAAAGTAGACAGTGAAAATTATGTTTTCCTTGACTTTGACTCAGCTCTGAAAAAACTTCAAAACTATCCTACATCTAATTTTTCTAAAATTATTCTAATATAGGTTCTTAGTTTGAATATCAAACAGCTTGGAGGGATATGAGAAATTGTTGCATATCTGTCAGTCAGACTTCCTTAGCCATGAAGACAGAGTGAACATTGTTTTCATTACCATTTTGAAATGTTTATTGACAACTTTTTGTATTCTCTGGTAGTGATCTGAATTTTTTTCTTAGGGTATCTTGTGGATTATTATTGAGCTTCATGTGTACCAATGTTTCCTGCTTTTTCCGTCTTTTGTTCAGATGACTCAACCACTCCTTTTTATGCATGTTTCCCCATGTGCTACATAATTATTACTTTGCTCTACATCTATAGGAGTGGTATTATTCAGGGCAGCTGGGTTTCTCCAGCGGTATTTGTTTTTCATCCTCTTCACATGCAAAGATTTCATACAGTAAATTTATCATGGGGAAAAATTATCTCAACAGTTTCACCTGGTGAAATTTGTTGGCAGTATTCTTCTGGGAGGGACAGCATATATTCAGTATATTTGGGAACTTGTTATTTTTGACTCTGTTACTCATTCATGATAAATACTAGCTGTCATTGTGTAAGATTACATTTGCAAGGAATTTTCATTTCATGAATGTGGAGATGTAACATCTGCTTGTGATGAATCAGCCATTGTTTTCTCCTTCAGAGGAACCAATCTCTGGGAAGTTGAAGCAACTTTTAGGAGCAACGTTTGTAAGACAGAATGGTGTCTTGCCCTCCCTCTGTCTCTTCTGTCTTTCTCCCTCTGTCTCTGGTGGGAACTATGTAATCATCAACCAAAAAAAATTATTTGTGAGATAGGAAACCAGTTTACCAGGCAATATAAAGCAATATAAAACGAGAATAGATGAAGGAAGGGAAACAGAAGAAAAACTATAAGGCAACAGTTGTCTATGCAAGCAGAGCACAAATTCAATGTCTTTCTATGGGGTGGTAAATATGTGCCCACCCAACTACGACTCAGCTGCAAGTTGGATTGCAATCCCTCCCATCAGACCTAGCCATCATAGCTAGTGATGAGGAGTCAAATGAGCTGCAGTCCATCAACATACAATGGGCCACACATTTTAGGGACCTCTGTTCATGCACAGTAGTCAACTAGCCATCTTTTAACAGTCATGATACCAGCTTAATAAGGAAGAGTGGGAATGAGCCTTTTGCCTGATGTAGCAAAAGGGAATCAGCACTGTCAAATGAAGAAGTATATTTAAACTCAGTTTAAATATTAACACAACTGTTTGTACATTCACCTTGCATATTTTGGAAGTAGAGCTGCTACCATCATGTAATTAAGGAAAGTATGGTTAATTTAGGGGCTCTGTGGATTTATTCCCAGTGGCAAAAATGCACCATCATATCTCAGTTTATTAAGTAAGACATGATAATCTGAAGTGGCTCATTATGTTATATCCAAAGTGAAGTGGCATAATTACTAGTTTATAAATATTACTTAAATTTTTAACATCAAAGCTCGTGGTTTATAGTCACTTTCACTGATACATATTGATACTATAAAATAAAACGTATGTTAAGCACCCATCAGGTTGAAATTAATGTACAGTGTGCTGGTGTACAGGAACTCACTTATTAGACCAACATTTATCAGCCATGATCAAACAAAGTCTTCGTTGGCTGATCAGTTATTTATTGCCACTTTAATGCATTGGATTACTATAATATATATGTAGAAGTGTACACTAAGTTTTTATCAGAAAAAATACATTTAATTGTAATGCTAAGTGTATATGTGTATTTTAAAATACACTGTCACTATTTGTGGGGTTTGGTAAACGTCACTGTGTGGGATGTGGTCTAATTTAAGTTTAGATTTGAGTAAGAAATTTTGTTGGTTAATTTTTGTTTAATCCACATATATTCTTCTCCTAGAAAATGGATCTCAAGAGAGGAAAAGCCCATTATATTACATGAACTGTTAGGTTAATTATATTGTTTTCCATTTCACATTATCTTAGAAATTGACAGTCATTAGGTATTCTACTGACACATTACAATTCAAGTTTGAAAATTAACTCTGCTTGTGCTTTGTTTTTTTTTTTTTTTTTAAAGTAACACTTCAAACACCAAGAAAAGCTTGGGGGAAGTTATTTGGTCTTCCCCATTCTCTAACTATGCTGTTCCCATTTAAAAGAGGAAGCTATATGGTGATGTGGATGCTGACCTAAGAATGATAGAATACCTATAGGTTAGGAAGATGCACACCAGAAAACAAAGGCATGGAGTTTGTCAGTACAAAATGGAGCAGACAGAACAAAAGAGATCAGGAAGTTGTCGGGGGCAAATCTGCACAAAGCAACGTGGGAAAAATGTAATTTAGTTGTTGGAGACAGTTCTGATAATATAAGTGCACAAATAAAGCTGGAACAAGTGCTGTATCTAGGCAGAGCCTTGGAAAACTAATGTGGGGATTGGAGTGCGAACAATAAGGGGTGACGTAAATCTGGTTAATCTACATATTTTGTCATTGCATAGAGGCCCATTGTGGAATAATAGTTTCCAGTACTTGCATCTGACTCCAACATTTAGTTAAGGAGATGTCTTTCTTATTTGTAACAGCACCCTAATTCTTCATCATCCCATCATATTATAATACACATTAAGATTTAATGTTATGTTTGAACTGGAACTTCTGACCTGTTGTTTCTCTAACAAGGCAGAGTTTGAAGCCAAAGTCTGAAACTGGCTGTAAGGCTAGATTCTAACAGTTTAGTATCTGGATGAACTTGGGTATTGATTTAGCTGCTCCTGTCTATAGCAGGAGGCAGGCACAAGTAATTGGGTTTAGAATACCAGGACACTTACTGATAAATGATTAGCTAGGATTCTGGAGAATTCAGACTTAGCATCCTATCAAATATGTAGTCTTCAATAAGAGCTAAATGAATATTAGTTTTGGAGAGACATTATTCAAGTACCTTTTGTGTTTGAGAAATCAGACTTCCAAGGAATCCTATTTTTGAGACCTGAAAACCAGTCACATGACAAATGCTCAGATTTGTGAATTAAGAGAGAATCTCCTCTTCTAATGCTAGATTATCTGTAATGTCTGTTTCAGCCCTAAGTAGCAGACCCAAATTATGAAAATAATAAAGACTGAAATCGGTACTCACTAGATGAAGAAACACTGTGTCATTTTGGTGATTCATACAGGAAGACAGCTGAAATGTTTTATGCTGCATGTGGCATCAACATCTAAATTATACAAGTATGAACAGTTTTAATATACTTACTGCATTCTGAGAAGAGAAATAGGGGCCTCAAGCAGTCCTGCAGCAGTCATGGCTGGGCTTCAGGAATGTTAATTGTTTGTGTACATGAGTAAGCTTATAAACGATTGTTTATGAGGGCTTGTTTTGCTCATCGGGAAAAAAGTTGATGAGTTATTATATTACTTACTCAGACTTTTAAATTGTTCAGAGCTTGATGGAAAATGATGTTAACTTACCACGAACTTTCTCTCCTTCGGAGCCACCTCAGCTTCTGTATTTGAAGTAAGCAAAGAACCATTATACTAATCCATTGTGTCATCTTATCTTCAGAAAACACATGTAAATGATTGTGTTGAATATTCATATTTGATGCAAGATGTATTTAAAAAATCTGTGTATTTGGCTTCATGCTAAACTACTGTTTTGGAGTGGTGGCACTCTTAAATGTTATCACTTCCTGATTGTGAAAGTTAGTTTGTTCTCTCAGCTGAGCCATCTGAAATGGCTGGAATTAGAAGTTAAAGAAGATTTTAAAAAAAGAGAGAGAGAAAGACATCAGCCTTAAATAACGTCAGTTCCGAAGTTTGTTTAAAACTGTAGAAAATATGACCACTAATTCTTTAAATTTGTTTCTTTTTCCAAACAGATCCGATTGTATGCAAGACCTGATGCCATCAGAAGAGGATCTGGAGATTATGCTCTAAATATTACTCGGAGGCTTATCGAGTTTTATGAAGACTACTTCAAAATGCCCTATTCCCTGCCAAAATTAGGTAAGCTTTTCAAAGCAAAACAGATTGTCAAGATCAGTGGGTTCAATGATATATGACTTGAAAGTAAGGTTAGAGATAATGACTTGATTTCTAAAATAAGTTAAGATCAGTAGTAGAAGGAGAATTTCTCACCCTCTTCCTCCCTCTGTAATTATCTACACAGGGCCAACCCTACATTGGGTTGCTTTTAGTGGCAGAGCATGGGGAAATATGGCTATTTCACTGTTTCTTCTCCTGATAGGACTCCTGCTGCTCTAGAAACTTGCTGTTACTTTGTGCAGCTCTATGGAGTTGGATTTTGGTTTTGGTGGCTGCTATTTTCCTCCCAAAGAAGAGTAGAAGAGGAGGAACCCCCATTTACCACACTCTCACCCCAAATTAGTCGGAAACTAGCTGCACTTATTTCTACTTGCAGTTTAATGCTGATCTGGATAACAGGTGATTTCCTGAGCCATTTCTATAACATTGCTTGGCTCAAGGACCCCTCGCAGCTTAACTTTAAATTAAATGCTAAAAGAGTCAGCTCTGTACAGTTGAGCTGGCCTCAGATGGTGGTCACAGTGCAGCTGCTGCGAACACCTTCTTCAGTTTTTCCTGTTCATCATAATCATCAGCAGCATGTCTTTATTTTTGGGATGGGCCGGCATTACCACAGTTCCTTGCTCCTCTTTCCCCTTTATTGAGGGAGTGCTACTGCCATGATGTTCTTTAGAAGGGTGCCACTTGCCTCCCACAGGGGGAGAGAACAGGGGAACTTGGGCTGCCTCTCTAACCACACCACCTGAAAATCCCTGCTAGAAGTCAAGGGGGTGCTCTCTTTCATTCTATGGGATATTTGGAAGCTGCTAGGAGATGGAAGAATTTTCTCAAAATAGACAGACCTCACTTTGGCTGGATTTGTGGTGATTTCCCATGAAGACCCATTCTGCATATTCAGGGGGTCTGAAACAAAAGAGGGCTTTCCATAAAACAGCTCCCTGAAGGGGAGAGAATTTCCTTTCAGTGAACTTTTGAAAGGTTACTTAACTAAGGATCCAAATCAGTGAGTATTAAACATTCATTTTCCTAACTCGGGTGAAAAGAGGCTAGTCTGCACCTAGCCTTGTCATAATCAGCAGTTAAATTGGTGCAGGCATTGATTCACTAGAGAGGAAATGTTACTGATTTGTTTTTAGATTGTTTTTAGATTGCGTAGGGTTACACTTCCATTAGATACCTTCAGGCAATGTTCATTTGGTCACATTAATGTCCTTACTCTTCATCAGTTACAAAATAAAGTACGTTCAGCATTTGAATTAAAAACATGTTTTTCTTAATAGTAGTGAATGTGTGTTCTATTATAATCCTGCTTATTGGAGTAAATTACCCTAAACTCACTTTGCAGAGCAAGCAGCCCAAGCCAGTAATAACATACATATTCTTCCTTTGTTTTTGTTAACATTCTTTTCTCACATACTGGATATTTCACACTATGTTATTGTATCTACCCTTTTAAGGAATGCATGGTATCAAGACCTAGAAAACATATTACTAAGTAGCTTTTTTCTGATCACAAGTTTTCTGATTTTCAACCCCAGGTGTTCTTTCCTGGAATTCAGGGCCTCCTTCATTAAAGCACTTACCTGCTGAGTAGCATCATTCTTAGTGTTGGAACTAATGATGTAGCAGGAGATATGTTAATTGATACTGTTACAGTGGGCGTTTTATGCATTTTCAATATGTATGGAGTGGCATTTTTTTTTTACTTTTTTAATTGATCTGTTGCATGCAGTACTCTGTTAATGTCAAAATAGTTACACAGGAGCTTGTTAACATGGCATTGCACTAACTCCAGTTTATCACTTTGTAGTTTCATGTCTCTCTGCAATTTGTCCTGTATAAGAGCTTGTTAGGAAAAATGTGATGTGAGTCATAAACATGGTATGGATGGGTGGGTGGAGGTCTGCTTCTTGGGAAGTAAGCTAGTAGTGACAAAAGTTGAAAGGAAGATACAATGTCTTTCTTCTTAATTAGCAGAAAGACACTTGCAGTTGTTAACTTTAGATGACTGAACATAGCCGTAGGGTAAAGTGGATAAGTATAAATGTGTCATATTCTGTCTGTCCCAGGTAAAGTGTGCTCTTTCAACAGGCTTTCTAAGTATGATGCTTATTACACAGACTTTACAGTCCACATTATATAGAGCAGGTTGTGCTGTTGGTAGGTGGTTTGTCAAAGCATTGGTTTAAAGCTTTAAAGTCCTGTGTGGCCTAGGAGCTGGCCAATCCAAGAATATCCAAAGACTCAGTGAGGGTATATGGTTGCTGGAAACCAGTCCCTGTCCGGAGATGGATGTGACACATCTTTGTGGCTGTGATTTGGAAGATGGAATGTTCATACTTTTTGCTGTGATCATTCAGTTTCCTGAGTACATAATGTTGGAAGCAGCCATGAGGTTTGCATTGACACTTTCAAAGTTTATTTCCACATACATTTCTGTATTGTAAGAATAGATTCTGTAAAGTATCTCAGTTACACAGTGTCTGTGTGATATTTTTAGTGAAGTTAAAACTGGTACAGGTTTCCATCTCATTTACTGTATATCCAGACTGAAAAAAAATATGATTTCATCCTTCTTGACTAGAGGCAGGTAGAGGATACTTTCTTCAAAATTTTAGTATCTGTTTCCAAATTATAAACACTGTTTTCTTCTCCAGATCTTAGATGGCAACTTGAATAAAGTACTTCTAGCTTTTTAGTAGCAATCTGCTAATACTAAACTGCTGTTGATTGAACTACAGTGGTGCCTCACTTAGCAACGTTAATCCGTGCAGGAAAAACGTTGCTAAGGGATTTCGTCGCTAAGCGATTTTAAAAAGCCCATAGAAACGCATTAAAACGTGTTTAATGCGTTCCTATGGGCCTCAAAACTGACCTTATGCGAAGATCGTCCATAGGGGCGGCCATTTTCGGTGCCTCTAAAGCGAGGACACACAGCAGGCGGCCATTTTGTTTTTCTGGTGGCCATTTTGAAACCACCAATCAGCTGTTTAGAAAGGGTCGCTTTGCCATGATCGCTTCCCCGCGATCATGGCAAAGTTATTTTTACCCATAGGGACCATCGCTAAGCGATC